ACTTGCAAAGGCCAGGAAACCTGCTTGGTGATGTTCCACTCACTCTGCATTTAATGGCTCACCAGGTCCTGTGGAGTCCATCTTACAAATGGCTTCATTTTCTTCTGGCGTCACAGCTACGCCTCTGTGCAGCCTCTATGATCTTACTTCAGTTTGTCCCGCCGCTTCCTGCCTGGCGTCCTCTGTGCCCAGCCTGACCCTATAGCCCCTCTTCATAATATGCAGAGGCAGCTGACCACACAGCCCTTCCCGGACTCAGACCGAGTTCAGATCCTGTAACGTGCTCATCTGGCTCCTGCAGAGTCTGCTGTCATCACAGCCCGGAGGGCATCCATGGTCGCTCAGTGCTGTCTGTTAGTCCAGACCAGTGGGGCCTGGGGACTTAATGTGCTGGGTGGAGAGAGGATTTAAAAACATACATAAATTACTAGTGAGAAAGTTTTGCCCTTTAAATTAAAAAAGTTATTCTGATTACATCTTTAGCATCTGGCTCACTTCTGATAGTCTCACTTTTGTACAAAGAAACAAGGCAAGCTCAGGAATTTTGTAGTCATTGATATGTATGTGGAATTAATAACTTGGCTTCATTTTTTTTTTTAAAATATATTTTATTGAGTTTTTACAGAGAGGAAAGGAGAGAGATAGAGAGTTAGAAATATCGATGAGAGAGAAACATCGACCAGCTGCCTCCTGCACACTCCCCACTGGGGATGTGCCCGCAACCCAGGTACATGCCCTTGACCGGAATCGAACCTGGGACCTTTCAGTCCGCAAGCCGACGCTCTATCCACTGAGCCAAACCGGTTTCGGCTTGGCTTCATTTTTATACGTTTTTTTTCATGCTCTATTGTTCATGATGAGGGTACTGGCTTTCTACTTGTATTACTGGTGTGAAGTGTCCTTTTAAAATAAAATAAAAAGGCAGTGGCACACGGGTATGGAGCCGTGGCCCCAGTGGGGAGGTAGCCTTGGAGGATGTCAGCAGCCACACTCTCCTCATGTCAGGCTCTGTGGCGCCAGGCTCTCCGTCTTGTTCTGTCACGCATTGGTGCCATTTGTTCATTAGCTCAGTTACTTGTTCCACTGCATGCTTAGTGAGTGTGTGCTAGTGTCAGACTGTCCTAGACACGGGGCACCAGTGCCTAAGATGGGCAGGATCTTGGCCCTTAAAGAGCTTACATCACAGTGGAAGGAAACAAAACAAAAAGTAAAACAGAATTGGTTGAACAGTGGTGACCAGTGCTGTGGGCAAAAATTAAATTCCCAGCAGAGGTTAGGACAGAGCCCCTGCGAGGGGAGCTAAACTTAAAGATCTTGGTTGTGGTCCAGGAAGGCCTCACAAGAAGGAGTGTGGGCAGAGATGCAGGAGGCGGGAGTGGCTGGGGCACTGAGAGGGGAGCCCCAGATGTGAGGGAAGGCTTTTCCTGCACAATCAAGACACAGGAAGGAGGACTGTGCTGGAGCAGAGGGTGGGAGGGGACAGGTAGTAAGGAAGAGATGGCTTACCTGGGTAGGACATGGCAAGAAGGAGGACGTGTGTGACACACTATGTCTTGGGAATATTCTGCCTCTAACTTGAAGCAGATTGGCCAAAGGTGTGGGCAAAGCAGGGGGAGCACCAGAAGGCAGTTTGCAGAGTACATGTCAGAGGGCAGCGTCATCATACAACTTTGGAAAAGTCATATTGTGGGTAGAACCTCCAGGATCTGTTGAGATTTGGTGTTGGAAAGTGGGAGAGAGAAGTGAGCTGACTGCTGCATTAGGGCTCAGAAACTGGAACTCTGGGGTGGGAATTGGCTGATACTGGACAACACAGAGCTACAGGCTTCAGGGAAAAATCAAGAATTCACTGTTGGACATGGCACGTTCAAGACACTTAGTATCCCCATGAGGAGATGTCGAGTAAACAGGTCTAATGGGTTTGGAGTCTGGCAGTAAGTGAGGGTTGTAACTGTGAATTTAGAAGTCGTCAGCATGTGGTTGACATTTGAAGTCATGGTGCCGGTGATCTCAGTAAGCACAGAGGGAGTGGAAAGCCTAAGGTCGAGAAGTTGAGGAGACCCAGCGAACCAGATTAGTCATGTCTTCACGGAGCTTATGTTTCAGTGTGTGTATTTCATTGATTATAACTGGGAACAGCTCATGCCTGTAGGAGTTTTCATTTCTTCTGTTAATATGTGCCTATTTATAAAGTATAGATTGTATTTATTTCTCTGTTTAGCAAGAAAGAGTGAGCCTGATTACCCCTGGGAAAGTAGGCCTGGTATCCAGAGCAGGGGAGACTCCGTCTGGCGTGGTAATCGTGTGGGTCTGCTCCCAGGAGATGCAACAGACTGAAGAGCTGAACAAGAGCCGATTATATAAGATGATGCCCTTTATGTGTGACATTTCTAGGTGACCCTGCACATAGTTGTAACGGCGCTGCTCATAGTCAGGAAAGTTCCAGTGAACCAGCAGCCGAGCCATCATCTGACAACTGTGGCAAACACAGGATGTTTCAAATGTTAACTCTGTATGGAACATGAACATTTAAAAGTCCCATGATATAAAAAGCAAAAAAAAAATACAAGCCAGCAAATAACAGTTTTATCTCTCTAATCTTATCCCCCCCTTTTACTTTTCTTGCCTGACTACCCTGGATAGATGTCTAGTTCATACTGAGTGGAGGTTGTCACAGTGCCGTCTGTCTTGTTTCTGATCTCATGGCCCACCAATCAGTGTCATGTTTGCTGTAAGTTAGTTTTAGATACTCTTTCTCAGGTGAGGCAGTTCCATCTTTTTTTTTTTTTTTTAAATATATTTTATTGATTTTCTACAGAGAGGAAGGGAGAGAGACAGAGAGCTAGAAACATCGATGAGAGAGAAACATCGATCAGCTGCCTCCCGCACATCCCCCACTAGGGATATGCCCGCAACCCAGGTACATGCCCTTGACCGGAATTGAACCTGGGACCCCTCAGTCCGCAGGCCGACGCTCTATCCACTGAGCCAAACCGGTTTCGGAGAGGCAGTTCCATCTTAATACTACTTTCCTAAGACTTTCTTCAGGTCTGGTACTGAGTTTACCACCCCTTGACTGCCCTGGATGATCTTTCTCCTCTTTCTGTAAATATGGTCAGTTATAGTGACTGATTTTCCATGTAAGGCCACACCTTGAATCCTGGGTAGATCCCACCTGTGGGCACATCTCCCTCTTTGTGTATAGCTGGATCTAATGCACACATTTAATGTAGGGTTTTGCATCTATGTTCCTGAGAGGCTGGATGGTAATTTTCCTTTCTCACAGTATCCTTGTCAGATTTACTATCATTATCCTGCTGGCATCAGACACTAAGCTGTCACTTTTTTTCTCTGGAAAGTTGTGTAAGATGGGAGTTGCTTCTTCCTGCCGTGTTTGCAAAGATTCACTAGTGGGCTCTGTTGGAATATTTTAAATTATTAATTTATTTTCTTTAATAGACAGAATAATGTTCAAGTTATATTTTTTGAGGCATTTGCCCCCATTTTGTTTAAATTTTCTGATTTCTTGGCATGAAGTTGTCTTTTTTTATGTTTTTAACTTGGTCACACCTGCGAATAGCCACTGCCCTGCACTCCCTCCCCCTTGGATGGAGCCTGTTGCCCAGGGAGCCAGCTTCTTGCTTGGTGTTATCTGCTGTACATCCAATTCACTGATCACTGCTCTTTTTCCTCTTTCATTTACTACTTTTCTAACTTTTTTTTTCTTTTTTTGGGGGGGGTGGGGAGGGAGGCTTTCCAGGAGAGGGTTGGAAACAGTTGGTGTAGTACAGAAATTTGAAGACTGGGCTGGGGTTTCCAGGAAGGTTTTAGGGGGAAAATCCTTTTCTAACTTCTTAAGGCAAAAGGTGGGTCGTTGATTTCTGGCTTGTCTTACTGTTCGATATATGCATTTGAAGCTGGACACATTGTCCTCCAAACTTAGCTTAGTTAGATTTCATAATGTCATCGTTGCATAATCATTCAGTTTAAAGTATTTTCTCATTATAACCTCATTTCCTTTTTGACCAGTATGCTAATTTGAATTATTCTGGATAACTTAAAAGCAGTGGGGATCTTTCTAATTATTTTTCTGTTACTGATTTTCTGGCTTAATTCCACTCTAGTCAGAGCACACTTGTTACAATTTCAGCCCTTGCAATGTGATTGGGGCTGACCTTCGGTTCTGCATTTGGTTAATTTTGGTAACGCTCCCTGGTCCTCAGGGAGAGGGTCTCCTTCCCACACTGTGTGCAGTTAAGTTGGTCTCATCGGGGTGAATTCTGTTCGCCACATTCTCCACACTGTCCTCATTCTCACTGGTCTTTTCTCTCCCGTCAGCTTGTGGTCAGAGATGTGGGGATCTGCCTCTGTGTGGATGTGCCCTTCTCCGTCTGTCCAATTCTGCTCTGTGTAGATTTAGAGGCTGTGTCATTAGAGGAAGACAGATTTAAATTGCTATAAATTCTCAGTGGAGTTACCGTTTTATAGGTTCTGAACTTTTTCTCACTATCTTTGGTTCTTACCTTAAAGTTGACTTCATTCAATGCTTAGAGGCAGCATCTGTAGTCTTCTTTTGCTTAGTATTTGCATGGTAGAGTTGTGTTTCTGCATCTTTTAATTTCAACCTTTTTGTATCTTCATATGTCCAGTGGGCACCTTGTAACCTGAAAACAGTTGTGTTTTTAGTTCTGTTCAGTCTGAAAGTTGGGAATATTTATCTGTTCATATTTAATGCAATTACAGATACATTTATGTTTAAATAGCTTACCTTAGCCCTGGCCGGTTTGGCTCAGTGGATAGATGTCAGCCTGCAGACTGAAGGGTCCCAGGTTCGATTCTGGTCAAGGGCACATGCCTGGGTTGCAGGCTGCAGGAGGCAGCTGATCAATGATTCTCTCTTATCATTGATGTTTCTATCTCTCTCCTCCCTTCCTCTCTAAATCAATAAAAAAAATATTTTTAAAAAATAAATAAATAGCTTACCTTACTGTATATTTTATATTGTTCTTACATGTTTTATGTATTTTTTTCCCTGTCTTCTTTTGGATGAAAATTTTAAATCCTATTTCCCCCTTTATTTGTTTACTAATTAACATTCTTTTTAAATGGTTTTTAGTGGCTAACCTAGTGATTAGAATAGTCATCCTTGATTTATTAAAGTCTAGCACTAGTTAGTAGTTCTCTCATTCCATAACAGTGCTGGGATCTCAGGAGACTTGTACTCCATTTACCCAGCTCTTGTCACTTGTGCTGTTTTGTCACATCGAATTCTCCGTATGTTTGAAGCCTGGAGACGTAGCCCCTGTTTGATGCGGCTGGTGCTCTTCCCTCCCTGGGCTCAGGCTTGCCCTTAGGATCGGTCCTTGGCCAGAGGGTGCCTGCTGACAGTCTCACACTATGTTTTCAGTGGTCTTCATGTCTTCATTCTATCGGTGTTTTATTTTAGAATGTTTCAAATTTACAAAAATAACAAGAATAGGAAAATAACTTCTCTGAACCTTTGTGATCAAATGGTGCCAATTAGCTTCAAATACTTTTCTCAGGTGTGGCTCCTGCACAGCACCTCCTGGGCACCCAGGTCTCAGGTGTGGCTCCTGCACAGCATCCCCGGGCACCCAGGTCTCAGGTGTGGCTCCTGCACAGCACCTCCTGGGCACCCAGGTCTCAGGTGTGGCTCCTGCACAGCACCTCCTGGGCACCCAGGTCTCAGGTGTGGCTCCTGCACAGCACCTCCTGGGCACCCAGGTCTCAGGTGTGGCTCCTGCACAGCATCTCCCGGGCACCCAGGTCTCAGGTGTGGCTCCTGCACAGCACCTCCCGGGCACCCAGGTCTCAGGTGTGGCTCCTGCACAGCACCTCCTGGGCACTCAGGTCTCAGGTGTGGCTCCTGCACAGCACCTCCTGGGCACCCAGGTCTCAGGTGTGGCTCCTGCACAGCACCTCCTGGGCACCCAGGTCTCAGGTGTGGCTCCTGCACAGCACCTCCTGGGCACCCAGGTCTCAGGTGTGGCTCCTGCACAGCATCTCCTGGGCACCCAGGTCTCAGGTGTGGCTCCTGCACAGCACCTCCTGGGCACCCAGGTCTCAGGTGTGGCTCCTGCACAGCACCTCCTGGGCACCCAGGTCTCAGGTGTGGCTCCTGCACAGCACCTCCTGGGCACCCAGGTCTCAGGTGTGGCTCCTGCACCGCATCTCCTGGGCACCCAGGTCTCAGGAGTGGCTCCTGCACAGCATCTCCTGGGCACCCAGGTCTCAGGTGTGGCTCCTGCACAGCATCTCCTGGGCACACAGGTCTCAGGTGTGGCTCCTGCACAGCATCTCCCGGGCACCCAGGTCTCAGGTGTGGCTCCTGCACAGCATCTCCCGGGCACCCAGGTCTCAGGTGTGGCTCCTGCACAGCATCTCCCAGGCACCCAGGTCTCAGGTGTGGCTCCTGCACAGCATCTCCTGGGCACTCCTTGGGAAAGCCGGCTCTCAGGTCCCAGGGTCAGGTCCTCTTGGGTGGGCCAGGTATCCCCTGCCATGATGTGTGACTCTTAAGGTCAAGGACCTTCTTCTGCAGTTAAGGGATTGGTGTTCATATGTTGCTGCTGCTAATCCCAGACCTGGTTCCAGGGTGATCAGTCACCCCAGTAATGTTCTCTAGAACAAAAGGGCCCACCCTGGATAATGGATTGCATCTGATTGTCTTGTCTCTGTAGTCTCTTTGAATCTGATAGTTCCTCAAGCTTTCCGTGACATTTAAGACCTTGACACTTTTGAAGATCACAGGACAGGTATTTTTTAGTGTCCCTCCACCTGACTGTTCACTCGCTGCTTCCCATGATCAGATTGAGGCTGCGTTTTGTTTTTGTGGGTCTGTCACAGAACTGCTTGCATCTTGTCAGGTGGCACCTGGTTCCTGTCTGTAATGTCATGGGTTGTATTGACTTTGGTCCCTTGACTAAGATTGTGTCTTCACTCTTTGTAATTAGTAAATGTTTGAGGGGCATACTTTGAAACTGTCAATGTCCATTTCCTCCTCAAGCGTTCATTCTACCATTTATTGATTTTCTTGGCTAAATTATGAATAGGATGGTTGCCAAATTACACTTTTCCTGATTCTGTGAGTCCTGCATCGTTAGTTAGCATTCTGCTGTGAGGACCTGCTTTCTCTTCTCCCTGCTGCGCCATCTATTTATTTATGTCACTGGGGAACCACCTGACCTTCCTCCCACACTGTTCCTGCCCCTCTGTGTCTCCAGGACTTCCTGAACCCTTGAGGCCCATGGAAGCCAGATGCAGGTGTCAGTAACATGGACCCACAGGGAGCAGCCCTTCTGGCCCAGTGACCACCTGTGGTAGCCAAAGTACTTGTTGGAATCAGAGCTGAAATGCGGCTCCCTGATGTCTTCCTGCCCCTTCTGTAGCCCCAGCACCCAGTACGAGCCTTCCCTGCACAAGGAGCGGGCCCTGTCTAGCTGGCCACCGTCACAGCCACGGTCACTGTGCTCTCATGCCGGCTCTTTTGCCCATGGGAATGCCTGGTAGCTGCTGTTCCAGGCCCACCTGCCTGTGTCCTGGGAGGCCAGACTCTGTGGACTGTGTCACAGGGCCCCTGCTCCCCAACTGCCACTAGGAGGAACGGGCATTGAGCCATCTGTCCTCCAACATCATTGCTGCTGTGATAGCCCCTCCTGCCCTCCTGCAGTGGCAGCTCTGGGTCCTGGGCAGCTAACGGCTCCCACCGTGGCTCCTCCTTTGTTGGCTCCTTCACCCACCCGCACTGACTACGGCCTTGTGTTAATTGTAGCCGGTGCTTCCTGCTGGACGGTGACCACTCAGCTGGGACTTCATCAGTGGGTTTTCACATGGCGCTGGGCAGAGCATTAAGAAGGAACATGCTGTCGCCCTGTTGTCTGCTGGGTCACCCCCTGTCCAGTTCTCACCCAGCTGTCCCCTCCATGGCCTCGTCACTCTCCTGACAGGATGGGACACTGGGTTGGTTTGCATTTATAGGCCCCCTGCCAGGACGGAAGCTCTTTCAGGCAGAGCTATGCTGTGCCCGGTGCCTGTGGAGCTCGTCACTCACAGCAGGGCGTGGAGAACACAGGGCAGTGGGCTGGGGGACCGACCTGCTTGTAAACCCATGGTGACTTTGCCTGCTTCCTCCCACAGCTGCCGGGCCGCAAGTACTGCCCCGGGTATAATGCGGACGTGGGCGACAAGTGGATCTGGCTGAAGTGACGGACCACCCTCTGCCAGAGCTGTATTGGCAGTGAAGAAGAAGCTTCCAGTCTGCACTCTCGTGGCCTCCTCGTAGCTTTAAAATTTGGGGGGAAATAAGCAGTCTGAACATCGCACCGTGGAGGCAATGGCAGTCGTCCCTGCAGTGTAGTCGGGGTGGACAGGACCATCGGAGCCTGCGGCTTTATGTGGCAGCGATTCGTAATGACCACGGGGCAAAGGGAGTCCGCTGGGGGCCAGGCTCCACTAGAAGGGTTTCTTCTCCCACCTGTGTCCGTGTTGTGCAGGCTGGTACGTGGCTTCTTCAGACTCGAGAAATAAACTGCTTCTGTGGCACTGTCTCCATTAGACTCTGCTCGCACACGGGCATGTCGCGCATGTGCCTACGCTCATTTGCCATTCTGCTCGCCGCTTACTGTGATGTGGTTTGCTTTAATTCAGAAACATACTAAGATTTAACCATTTACTCTGTTTATTCTAACAATTAGAGAAAAGTAAAAAAAGTAAAGAGGGAATACCAAAAAATGGAAGGAATTAGCATAGACTGTAGAGCAGATGTTTGGGAGTCGTGTGTGATGAGCATCACCCCGGGCTCCTCAGTCCTTCCTCTGAAGGAAGATCCGAGCTCACAGTGTCGGTAGGACAGGACAAAAGCAAAATAACATGCTCTTGGTTCTCTGAGAGCCCGCTGTCAGTGGAAGAGAGGAGAGGGAGAAAATCCCATTTCCTCCTCCACCTCTAAAACAGGAAACTAGGTGACATGCCTCGCAGCTCATTGTAGAGTTTGGCATTTTAGTTCAGGGGTTAAGCTATACATTGTGAATTCTATCCAGTGAGTTTTTCTATAGAGTCCCACTGTGTTGAATGTGGCTCCTAGCCACGTGTGACCATTACATTTAATGAATTAGAATTAAATGCAGCTAATTCAGTTCCTCAGTTCATACTGGCCACAGTTCAGATGCTCAGTGGCCACATGGCCCTCGGTTCCGTGTTGCACACATCACGAGGAAGGTTCCCACCATGGAGCGTGCCTGCGTCCCCCCATCCCTTTCTCTCTCTGTGGGTTTTAAGAATTGGAAATAAAGTTTCCCAGCAGTGTTAGTTGGAGTTCAGATCTAAGTGGCCAAAGTTTTGCATTTCACTAAGAACAAGCAGCTTCAGTGATTGAGAGAGCAGCTAGGCTCCGGGCCAGCCAAGGGAGTGTCTTGGTCTGAATGCCTCCCAGAGCCATTAAGGAGGAGGAAGGAAGGAGAAAAGCATCCAATTATCTGGCCTGCTCTCATGTCCTGTGTGGTGAGCAGGCTCCGTGCTGCGCACCGAGAGCTCCTCACAGTATATGAGGGTCTGCTGTGCGTCAGCTTGTCAGACACAGTGCAGACCCTGGTCCAGGTACCACCTTCTAACTATACCTGGTGCACCGCCCCTGGTGGCGTGGGCAGTTTGTCATTTGTGCTGAGGGAGCACGTCTCTTTCATTTCATGGTGGTTTCTGAGAGCACTGGGCAGAGAAGGCAAATAGTGTCCAAGTCTCCAAACAGAAGCCCTGAGAGCTGAGGCGGCGGCCCCACCTTTTTGGTTCAGAGCAGGACGTGACTTAGCTCCCGGGAATGCTTACAACCCTTAAAAGAAACCCAGGGTTGAAATAAAACTTCATTTTAAAAAATGTTTTTATTTTTTATTTTCTTAGGAAGGGAGAGGGAGAGAGAGTGAAACATCAATTGGCTGCCTCTGGCACATACTCTGACCGAGGACTGAATCCACAATCTGGGCATGTGTCCTGACGGGGAATCAAACTGGCAACCTTTCGGTGTACGGGATGATGCTCAACCAACAGCCACACTGGCCAGGGCAACCTGCCTTTTTGAATATCCCATGTTGGAATATTCAGTGCTTTGAGGGTCAGGAACTGAGCTTGTTGTAACGTAGTTTTATGTCTTCCAGCCACTTGTTCACAGTCACGAGAATTTTGTATTAAGGAGAAAGCACTCATTTTTTCTAAAGTGTCTTTCTGTTCCATCAGATTTTGTAACCAGAAGTGTAAGAACACTCAGCTTCTTAGAGGGAATTATGGACAGTTAGTTATGTCCATGTCAGCAAAGCAGGGTCACCTAGGTGGGCAACCAGTGGCTTGCCCAGCCTCACCTGCTGCTGGCTGTTGTTAGCCTCCTGCGGACAAGGTGTGTGGTCAAAGAGCAGGTGTCCAGAAAGCTCTGGTTATGTGGTTTTCACGAATCTTAAGTGTTGGATTCTGTAAGATGGAACCAACCCAGACCCTCACATGACACCTGCTCCCTCTTCCTGCATCCTGCGTGCCTTCACTGGGGTCCAAGACCTCCTGCCCCTGTTTTGGGGGTGAGGGTACAGCTCCCCATGCCGTGCATCCCACAGAAATGGCCCTGTGACAGCAACATGAACTGGCTGGCTGCCCCTTGGAGTTCTGTAGCTGGTAGGGCCTTGTGAAGGTTTCTGAACTACCTGCACTCTGGTGTTTCAACTGTTATGCCCCAACTGCCCTGATTGGCAGTACCGCTGTATTGCAGATGGAAAAGGAGGGGTTCAGGCAGCTCTGACCGGTCCCTAATCATGGTGTGCCGTCACACTAACGGCCGTGGGTACAAGGCCACCTGGGACCTCTCGTGGGTGACAGTGCTGCTGCCTCCAGGTGTGGGGAAGACAGACCCTGTGTGACCCTCTGCGTCCTGCCGCGGACAGGAGGAGCAGGATCCAGACCTGTGCGATGGACTGGGCAGGACTGTGGTGTCTGGGCTCAAGCCCCAGCGAGACCACCAGGTCCAGGCCCAGCTAAGCAGCTGCTGGACACTGGCGATAAGCACTTCATGGAACTTGATCTCCTTGTCCCTGCGTAAGCGTCTGGTCCTTATGCGAGGAGCCATCGTACGGAACATGGAATTACTGTGGGAGGTAGCAAATAGCCAGGCTCAGGGAGCAGGCCCCCATAGGGCACTTAGACCCACCTGCCAATTCACCCAGACTGAAGGTGCTAAGCGTAATTGCTGGTCTTCGGCAGGTAATTGCACCTCATCTCTGTTTCTGTTGCAAATGTGACATCTGTGTGGGCACTCCACACCTGTGGGGCTGACATTGTCCCCCAGCCCTGACCTCAGAGGGGCTGTCCACAAAGTGGGTGCAACACGTACTCAGGGGGACGAGATACTACCAAAGGGCCCAGCCCAGCCTGGGAGTTGGGCTTATGAACAGCCTGGCAGAGCTCATGAGATGATCCCCTGATGCAGAATCCGCCCTGGCCTGCAGTCCCCACCTGCCTCCATCTGCCCCCCAGGGTGGCATGCCCAAGGTGCTGCATAGTGCAACAGAGCGAGGTGTCTGGTCTGTCTGGCCAAACCCAGGAGCCCTGCGCTTTGTGGAGCTGCTCAAGCTGGTGGGCCCTGCCCACCCATCCCTCCCTCTACACAGGCACCTTTGAGGGGGCTGCAGTATTCCCTACCCCCAGCCACGTCCCCTCCCACTTTCTCCTCTCTCCGTGGCACTGGGGCAGGGTTTGGACTGTCTGCTGTGCCCCCGGAACCCAGTACAGAGCCTGTGCAGCAGCTCAGGCTGTACCTGTCTAATTAATCAATCTGGAATTCCCCAGAGAAACAGAACCAATAGGAGAGAGTTTTAGGTTCCTAAGGAATTGGCTTACAGGGTTGTGAGGCTGGCAGGTCTGAAGTCCGTGGGTGGGGAATTCGAGCAGGACTTGATGCCAGTCTTAAGGCAGAATTCCTTTTCTCCGGAAAACCATCCTGCTGCGTATGACCTGGCTCTCTCCACAGCAAAGGCGCAGTCAGGACAGATGCGGGCGGAGGGCTAGGGAGATGCCTTGGGAATGTCCCGGAAGACGGCGTGAGCTAAGAAGGTGCAGGAAGAACATGCAGGTGGAGGGCAAGAAGTTGTGCAGGTCCAGGACTGAGGAGCCTGTACGTCCCTGTGTTTCATCAAGTCCCAGATGCCCAGTGTGAGATGCCTGTGTAGCTGACGGAAGTTCACTGCCGGTTCGGTCACTGTGAGACCAGAAAACACGCATTGCTAAAGAGGGCTCCCGGGAGGAGTGCCTCTCACTCACTTTTGTGTTCTCACGCAGGCGCCCTAGTATTTGCAAGCAAGTCCACCCTCAGGGTCCCACCCCTGCACCACGTTCCTTCCTTCTCACATTCTCACTTATTTGAAGTCGTGTCTGCTGTCGCCACCGCCCCCCCCCCCCCCGCCCCTCCATCTCCCATGCCTCCAGTATAGGGGACGCAGTCATTGTATGGCATCATCTCCTGCCTCCAAGGCAGGGACCTGTGCTGGGGCCTCTGTGCAGCTGCACGCAGGGCCCCTGTCCTCACTGTGTCTCCCTCTCGCTCAGAACTTCGGGGCATTCATTTTATCAACCACATGCAACACTGGCTCTACCTTTATGAAGAGCAGGGCGTGGGCACAGAGATTTGAGCAGATTAGCAGCAGGGTTTGACTTCATCTTTAAAGCTCACCAAGCAACTGGACAGTGTGGACTCAGGGTGGATGGTCAGTGGCCCTGATGTCCAGGGAAGGGATGCAGTGGCTTCGGTCCAGGAGGTGGTGGGGGATGGGTGGGAACACAGCATTCTGGGGGTGTGCCTGGCAGAACCCACTCATGTGGGGCGTGAGGACAAAAAGCAGTCACACTGATTCTGAGGCGGGACCTGAGTGACCAGGAATGGCAGTGCCATTTCCTGAGACTAGAGCGAGGTTGTTCAGAAGGGTCAGAATATCCCTGTGGTAGACTGATCTGAAGAGGAGACGCAGTGGTTGGATGGGTGTACCTGGAGCAGGTGAGGTCTGGGCTGTGGGTAGAATTTGGGGATCACAGATAATAGATATTTCAGCCAGGCTCCTGGATGAGGTCACGGGGCAGAGAATGTGTTTCGAAACAAGACTCCCACT